AAATGTTAATCGTGGCAAAATGGTAGGCGCGACTGAAGTGGGTTGTTCAAGATGCCATTGCAGCTGACCAGCCTACTAGTGCAGTATGGTACTCAACAGCTCTCTTCTGCTGATTAGATTCGTCAGCTGCACGTGCTTTGTTATCTTGAGCCCCGCAACTGACGAGTAGGCAACTGTGGAGTTATGAGAGAGCTCAGGCTCTGCTTCCCCGCCATGAATTCACATGGCTCGGGGTCACTTTTCGTGTGCGGTGGCACTAGCCCTTTGAATTGGAGGGAAGGTGCACTACGTTGTTTCACTGGGGCAGTGCACAGCAGCGTGGGACACGGCCTGCGGGAAGAAACAAGAGCAGCGATGCGGGCACGCATCAGGGCAGGCTGGCATTGACGGAAAAATTAATCGGTTACGGCGGATGCAGCTAGAGATGCTCACAGCTTACTGAAGCCACGTTTCGTCAAAAAGTGCCCCTATCCTTGGACGCCTTTCATGGCTTCGTCTTTGTTGCTCAGCCAAGTGTGCTCGCTGTTGCTGTGGAAGCCTTCCGAGCTGCTGAGCGGCTATGAACGGCGCTGCATCCAAAGCGGTTCGTCCAGAGAGTAGTGTCGATGCGAGATTTCAAGAAGTGGTTCACGTGTTTGTGGCAGTGCCTACTTACTAGAGGCTCGCAATACCATCATGCCCTCGTGCCGTCAGCCGGCACCCGAGTCCTGCCCAAATTGACTGCTCCGAGAGCGTTCTTCGTGACACGAAAGTCACGCTCCCTCTATCTCAATGACAGTGCGCATAACCTTATTCTCACTATTTTGCGCAACTAACCTAGCGTCGGCACTCTTGGAGTGCCGACGGTTCATCAAATTACGCGATAAACCGCAGTGTAGAGCCTCAAGTTTGCGCACGTACGTCGAGGCCGAAGCCGATGCAGTCCACGAATTTCAAAGCAAACATTCGACGTGCTCACCTTCTTATGGAAGCGGGGCCTGTTGAGATTTCCTGCAGTGCCTTTGCCCATGATGTGCAGCCGACAAAGAAGTGGCCAGGCTCCCCATTCGCCCCGCCACACAAGGCGAAATGCCATGCCACCCTATACTTCCTAGGAATCGATGTAAGCTGCCATGTGCAGATGAGCGATAGTTTGCTTGCACTCCATCGTCATTCAGCGCTTGTTTGAGTGGTGGCTTTGGCGGAGGCAATTTCTCCATGCATTTCATCAATTTCCCTTCATTTGCTCATGAGACCCACTCTATCTGAGCTGACCGGCACGTTGTTGTGTAGGCGACTCAATTTCGCAAGTGGAAAAAGGCCACCCTATCTCTTCACAGCCTTTATTAAACCCACAGGCTGTATGACTAAGTGTGCGTACTGAGACCACTGCTTGAACGTGTCATGAGAATGCACCAATGATTGCGCGGATTCAGCTGCTGCTGCGCTGTGGGCACATGATTACACGCCTCTAAAAATGCGCTTCGCTATTTGCCCCTGTTCGGAACGCCAGCCAACTGCGGCTCCTCCCCTTTGTTAACAAGCTGTCCAACAGGCCTTAGTGGATGCGGTGTAGAGAAGAAACGTTGTCTGAAGTCTGGAGGACTTCCTTTGCACTACGCCATGAAGGCACACGCTAGAGTGAGCATCACAGCCTCGATAAGTTGAAAAGCGCGAATGGTAGTGGCATTGAGCATTGGGTGCGCCTTTGCTCCACAAATGCTCAATCTTCATATAGCACTGCGTGCGCAACTCCTCCACCACTTCTCAAGATCTTTTCGCTTGATCTACACCAAGCTACAACTGGATATGCAGAAGTGACAGACCACTTTCCTTCATCCTGGACGTTCCCTAAGTAGGGCTAAGGAAGGAATCGGACGCTGAATGCAAGGCAGGATAGCTTCGTCAGAACTTCAATGCTTCGCCGTATGTATGGCACCATGTACACGTCCTTCCAGTGTCCTAACGCCTGCGCCATGGGGAATGAAGGCGCGACTGGGCAGCAACTACTGGAAGAGCAGCTTGTCAGTATTCAACTGAATCAGCAGAATCCCTACTTGCCCGCCTGATGAGGTCAACAGCTTGACAATCAGCGGAGCTCCTTCGGAGCTTCTTTACGTGCCCCGTAGCTTCGAACGACGTCTCAAGCTCTTAATGTCTGGTGGTCTCAGGAAGGGTAGAAGAAGCGTGAAGATAGTTCAGCTGCTCCGAGGGCCGGGAGTTCCTGACCCTTGCTGCCGAACAGCGCGAAACAAAGCAAAACAAAGCAACGCCTTTGGAGAGCCGAGAGTGGGCTTCTTTCCACAGATCAGGACTGCTCACGGGCCGCGGTGACGGCAGGAGCACAAACAGGACTTCTAGCTAAGACAATGTAGCTTTTGAGGTTGCCTTTCCCGTAACTCGGCCCAGCACAAAACCATACGTGGCTGTCCTTTTCGCCAACCACAACTTTGGAAGTGTAAAGTGGTTGAATACTGCAAGTGTAAAGTGGTTGAATACTGCAGAGCAAGACTTTCGGAGGCGTTGGTCAGGGCATAGTAGAGTTTCGCTTTTGCTGTATCTTTTTATTGCCTGAACCAATCGGTGCGTTCAGTATTTGCACCCGCAGATGCTGTTCTAGTCCGGAAGGTGACTGGCTAGATTGCAGTGGATGCGTGGGGCGCGTAGGGCGGCAAGGGAGACTTTGGTCGGAATGGTCTGCAGGGTGTGCTCACAGAGAACACATGAATTTCGCCAGGGCTGCCTTTTAGTTGCCTGCCTGTGTGCTGCAAGCTGCACTTTCCTTCCACAACAGCATCAGTGCAAGTTACAGTCTTATTACACTTTCATGCTCTGCACTTGTTTGTCTGTAGTGGGACGTGGGGAGGCGTTGTGGCACTGTTTATTATCGGTGGGACGAGCAACGCCATCCACGTAAAACACGTTCCTTCCGATAACACATCAGCAGTAGTCACTGGTATCTCGTGACTTATTGGGATAAACGACTCGATTAGGCCCTCAGGTGCTGGAGTAGGACCTATCAATTTTAGCTTCATCAACAGGTACTTCAAAGGCGACGCAAATCGGTCAAAGGCGACACAAAATGCTGCGGAACTGCTTACTGTTAATGGAAGAATAAGCGCTTGACTAGGTACAAATGAATCTGTGCCCCACCAACACCTCCGCTGAATCCTTGATTATGACGCATGTGGCAAGCGACTGTGAAGCTGCCGCCTCTGGCCCATCAATCGGCAACATCGTGGGCATCCTCTCTCAGATACAAACAGCCGCTGGTCATCACTGGGATAACAGCGCTGTACTTAGTCGTCATTGCAATATCAAGACTCTGCTGCAGGCAAGGTCGCACAAGCCGCTGCAATAGTGCAGCAGCATTGTTACTGCAGGTCCACTCACGTTGACTACGGGTGTCTTTTGCTACAAGTCTTTCATCGTTTGTTCTCCGCAGCTGAGCTCACTCAGACTGCACTTGACGCCTGCAGTACTCGGTACGTGACTGTTTAGCCGAATCATGCTGAGCTCGGCAGATGCACTACTCTTCTCCCCACCTGTAGCCGCAACTACACAGCGCTTGAAAGCATCACCGGCCTAGCTAACAACACGAAACTCTGCCGCGAAGCATTCTGAGCGGCGCCACGAAACGCGCCTTCAAACCCTGAAAAGGCCTCCGCCCGTCCCCCCAAACGCTTCTGCCTTTTCTCGCTTAACCAAATAAACAACTCGCGTGTGTCTCTCAGGCCTGCTGAGCCAATAATAAACGTAGCCGCCAATGCAGTCGCCACTCGTGAGGCGTTTCTTGTCGTGTCTCAAAACGAACACCAGAAACTCTAAATATATTCATTTCGAAAAACTCGAGCTGCCTGACTCAGCTTAGGCTGTTGCTCTGCATACCTGGCCACTGGCTGCACGTGGCAGCACAGCAGCACAGCGCGACAATTGTCTTGAAACGCAAGAACGTGTCTAACCCACTGCTCTCATGCAAGGGTTTTCCCTGTCATCGCGTGGGCAATCACTGTAGATTTAAATGCGTGCAAATGCATCGAACTCGACATCAGCAGCACGACGCACTTGAGTCGTGAGTTCTGCAGCCTTCGAAACGAGACTCTCAAAGGAAAGCAATGCTCAGCGACGCTGCGGCGAGCGCTACGAGACTCGGGACGGCGACTGAGGCTGAGCCGGTAATCGAACGCGATATTGCGTTCCATTGATCTTGCCTGCACAACATGAGACAGCAAAGAACTCCGTGCTTTGAGGACCTACAGCTGGACGGCAACGAATTAGAATTGATGGACAGGTCTGGGTAGGCTTACGTGAAGGGAGCAGATTCGTTTTTTTTGAGTACATCGGGCGTGGTTATGCATAACAAAACATAGGCATAACGTTATGTTCCTGTTGCTCTTTGGCCATCGGGGGATTGATGACGTCGTTTTTTCAGTGCGTGTGACGACCTTGCAGTCTGCAGTTGGACCTTTTGAAGGGTTGCACACAGTGATGAAGTAAATGTTGTCCTGATTTTCGTTAAGCTGTTTGCCGTCTTTGTACACTGGAGGTACTCCACTGAAGTTCTTGTAGGCTGCTTTCCGGTGGTCCACAGTGGAAGTGCAATTTGGAGAACTGGAGTTAAGACTTATGAATGCATCTGATGACAAATTCGTAATAAAATTAAGGTGCTTAGTTCGAGCAAAAATATGTGTAGTCTTTCCCAAATACTCTGTGCGCTTTCTGTTGGTGGCCGCTTCTTTTTGACTGTAGGTTAGGCTGGATGAATTCCGTCAAGTCCAGCTGCCTCGGCGGCAGCACAGACCTCCCCATAGATCACAACATAAATACGAGGAATAGGCGGACGGGAACAATTAGTTCATGCTATGTTGACAGAAGGTCGTAAAAACATGGGTCAGTTGCACCGGAGCTCAAAAACGCCTCGAACACAGGTGTGCCTGCCCCAGGCAAATTCTCATGAAGGTAACAAATTCAAATGCCACTGCGGATTCCTCTTGAAATTGTATTGGCCGGCGTGAGCAGCTCTACAGACTCCAAAGTACAGCAAAGAAAAGTGCTGCCAAGAAAATTACATCGCTTGGCAACGTGGCTCGTGAGCTGTTTCCAAGCGACGCCTTGATTTGGTCCCATTGCTTCTGTCTGAAAATCACAAGCACGTTGAAAAGCAACTTCATGGCAACGCACTGAAGACAATAACAATCAAAGAAGGACACAGTTCTAGAAAAACTCACGTGAAAGGGTCCCCTTCACCAGCTTGGAGCACGTCGGGCGTGATTAAGCAAATCAAGGCATGAGCACTGTTCCCTGTAGGCAAGAAGTTGCTTTTCATAGTGTGGCTACTCAAATCTATATATGGTTTGTTCTCCAGTTCGTTGCAGGTAACGACTCGACAGTCTGCATAGGCGTTTGGCGAAGGGTTGTACAGCGCAACGAAGGAAACATTGTCTGGATCGCCGTATAAGTCCGCGTTTTTCTCTCTTGATGGGGGTAGCCCACTGAAGTTCTTGAAGGCTGCCTTCCAATGATTCACTGTGGCAGTGCAGTCAGGGTCAGTCGAGACAACAGGCATGCGCGCATATGTTGTGCCGCCAAGTGATGTCTGGTATTCAGTGCTTTTAGCACTTGTATTGTCCTCAGGCATCTGAAGAAACAGGAGAGCAATCCAACCATGATGGTTATGCTGTAAGCATCGAGATCCAAATCACTCCTGTTAAAACAGCCAAAACGGTGAGCGGCATACTCGTATCAAGCCCTCACAAAGAGGCTTCCACGGGTCTACTGGGTCTGCAGCAGGAAGCCGTGCTGCTGTATTGTCTGGGCCTGGCTGTGTGAATTCAGCGAGGCCCGCTGCAAGCCTCGCAGCATTGACTTCTCCTAAGCAGAGCCCATCCCGTCCTGAGCAAGGCAATAATACGTAAGTCGATAGAGGTAAAAGGCTGAAAGGTGGTCACTCTATTTGACAAACCCTCATCTGCAACACAAGATTCCAAGCAAAAAGACATCTCAACATGATGCTGCAGATCCTTTTCGAAATACTGCTGTTGAGCGCGATCAGCTTTCGTTAAAGAGAGAACGCCACATGTTGAAGCCAAACGGTACGGTAACGCACCGAGTGAAACAGTGTATGAAACTGGTTCGACATCAATGGTCTGCCCAGCGTTTTCTGTGGCTGCGAGGAGCAGCGAAGCGCCAAAGACCGGGAGGCGCTTGAAAGGTGCCATCTGACCCATATAAGAGCCAACAAACGTGTATTGTCAAAAAGCAAAAATAATGCAGTGAACTAGAGTCGCCATGCAAGTTCAGCTCCAGACACGGGGGCTGTCCAAGATGCTTAACAAACCCAGCCTAGAAAGCAGCCCTGCAGCCTACTGGTGAGCTCTTGATATCTGAAGCTTAATGCATTTTAGTATGTGTAATAAATCAAGGGCCTAATATTATTAGTTCAAGAAGCCATGAGCGTCAAGATCAGCCAAACGATCAGCTGCAGCAGGAAGATGACCACTGCTCCTCCCACTCCAGAGGAAACCTTGTAGTAGGGCCTTTATATTTTCCAGCTAATCTACGCTGACTAGGGACTCAAAATAGCCCATGTCTGAGCGTCAAAGCACCCGTCTGCCTTAGTGTTGACGCGCGATTCCAAAATTAGTAGTAGATGAACAGGGAGATTGAGAACTATTTGTGGCTTGCTTCTTACTCCACAGATACAGCTCTCGGTAGGTTAGCACCTCCCAATTCCAAGCGGTGGTGAAGTATGCCAGAAAAAACCACTACAGCGGCAAAGAGCAAAGCGGCAAAGAGCAAAGTCAACGTAGCGAAATTAGGCGAGGCCGTCCTGCTTAGTTACTTGGCCATCGCAATGACATCAAGGGAACTGCTACCGCGATGACATCGAGGGAACTGCTATCGCGATGACATCAAGGAATATACTGCACTGGAGCATTGCAGGCACACCCTTCCTGCCAGTACATGCTATGCGAACATCTTCCTTGCCAATACGTTCAATGCAAAAGAAGTATCAGGTGTGAATTGCACTCCGCACCAAACTGCGCAAAGCAGAACGCTCGCCTCTCCTAGACAGAATCTGTTCACCACTACACGCCCTGTGCCTCTACGTCATTAAATCGGGCCATGACACACTGCTACCACCAGGAAAGTGGCTCTGTCTGGGCCACATAATTCGTTGCTATGACGAGCCCTCAGCTGGATATTTTTTAGCCTGGTCAAGATCCTGCTAGGGAGAAAGCAGTTAAGAATCAGTATCATATTACACTGTTCCGGGCAAGCCAAAGCAAAGCAGAATATTTTCCAGCCTGTCAAGATCCTGCTAGGGAAAAAGCAGTTGCGAATCAATGCTACCCTGTGCCGGGCAAGCCAAAGTAGCCTCTCAAAATTTGGTCTCCATTGACACTATAGTCCTTCCGATGTCTTTTTGAGAAAAAGCACTTCCACACCAATGTTACAGACTCGCTGTGATCAACACCGGGATTATCAGTAGCAGCTGCAGCAGGTGTAACAGGCGTGTGGTTCAGGATAAACAAAATCTTGCAAACGTTTGTTGCAAGCAGTGGCACCGCATTTCAGCCTACTTAAAGCTGAAATAACCTCCCCAATGCATTCCATGTCGAACACAACAACAGGGAGGAATTCCTGTAGTATCCACACGATACTATGACCTGCTCTTTACCGCCCTCCGCTACACAAAAATGAGCTTCTCACTTCTTGGCATTACGGTATATGCCAAAAAGCCCATGACGCCATGCAAAAATACGTGAAGAAGACATGGACATCAGCAATTGCCTTCATTGCTAATACAAAACGTTTTTACACCCACACGTTGCGTGCTACCACAGCTGCAGCACTAGACCCATCTCTGGAGGACTGAAACGACGCTAGTGGGGAAGCTGACTGAGGGATACTAAGTGCGCTGCCATGAGTGTTTGCGCCAGAAACGTCGGGTCATTACACGTCGGAGCATGTGAAGCTTTTGCCGCCAAACTCATACTGCAGCCATCCCAAGCGCCACCAGTGCGAAAGCTAGCAGGCTCGGCGCCACTGCTGTGGCAGAGCCAATGAGCGAAAAAGCAATGAGGTCCCACTGTTCTTCTCTGCACAACGCACGCACGCTACCTACACAGCTGTCAAAAAGAGCCAAATTCAGGAGTTGCTACAAAATCTAGTCTTGAAGAAACTTACGTGAATGGACCACTGCCGTTTATTGGGAGTGCATTCGGCATGGTCCTGCAGACCAAGGCGTAGCCCTGTTTTTCTTCTGCCTGATCGCCACTCTGTCGCCCTGACACATCCGGATCTCCAGTTGCCTTTGGTGTTTGCGTGCAGGTCATAACGCGGCAATCTGCAGTGGCATCTGCCGACGGGTTGTACATGGCTACGAGCGAAAGATTGTCTAGATTGTTGTATATTTCCGAAGAGGCAACCCTTCCTGGCGGAGGCCCATCGAAATTCTTGTAAGCTGCCTTCCAGTGATCCACAGTTTCATCGCAGTCCACCTTGGTGGATGACTGGGGAGCGACGGCGAAAGTTCCGGGGGGAAATCTGTGTGTGTCTATTGTTCCTCCCTGCGGAAAGAAATAGTAATATGCAGTCTTGATATGGAGACGGTGCTCCACAGCGGACAGTTGACGAACTCAGAAACTTACCGGAGTCGCTGCCAAGCAAACAGGGTACCACAGTTCAACGTTGTCTTCAGAAGGTAGAGCCGCATCACTTCCACTGGCAGGCTGTGTGAAATTTGAGAATCCTGCCTTCCTACGAGCAGCATTGATCTCCTCCAAACACATGCCTTCCGATTCTAAGGCCATCACAAAACAAATAGGCAAAACCTCCACATGCGTCAGCAACAACTGCTCAGTTCGCACGAACGTCGGTTTCTAACTGCATGTGCTCCTTGGGGTGTCACATGCCCAGTACTCAGGGGGTCCCAGCGCTAGCTAGTTCATGCGGTGATCTGCATGATTGACAGCATTTTATACGTTTTCTCTTACCGAATTTGACAGTAAGTTGTATTGATTCGGGAATGGACCCTTCTTCTTCCTGTGCTCTGCTCAGGAATACGAATGAGGCGCTAAAGGCGCTAAACAAGGTAAGTAGTGTAAGAGGCGCCATTCTGTCCAGATGATGAGTGGTACAGCTAAAAAGTTTCTGCGCAGTGAAGAACGTCGGTTGAGAGCACGCAAGGCCTTCTTTGCATTCTAGGATCGCCGTCAGTGGTGCGCATGAGATGATGAGCCCCCCTGTGTAGCTAAAAGCATTGTATCACTGCTTTTGGTTATTTCGCGTTCAAATTGCGAAGCCGCAATCCTTCAAGACACATAACTGGCGGGCAAAAAATATGTTTATGTCTCCATTCCCCCTGCTTTGATCCCGCGGAACTCGCATTCTTCGGTGTCTCCTATGCGGGCGCTCCCATATTCGAAAGCGGTGCGGCATGGGCAGCGCGGCTTATCTTTCGCTGAATGCTTTCAGTTTTATCCCGAATTCTCCAGCGTTTCTCCTGTTTTAGGGGAGCGTATACAACTCGAAACAACGTCACGCGACTCGCGGAAAATGCAGCTTTGAGCCGACCTCCAAAACACTTCGTCACACAGAACAAGACACGACGTGGGCCAGCCTGCTGCCGCATCCCTGGCTGGTAGCTCTAGGCTCAAAAATTTACATTAATGATTCTTGTATCATATGATCAGGCTCGGTCTCGTGATTTTGGGAACAGAATCGACAATCGTCGCGGTGGTAGTCAGCAGCCTCGCTAGTAACTTCTTTGCGGACTGAGGGGCTAGGACAGAGCTTTTTTTCGGATTTTTAAGTCTTTTTCTCTCCAAAATCGAGACAGCACACAGAAGCTTTGACTTCCGTGAGATACCTGTGCGCAGTTCTGCTCATGCCCGCCACCCTGCTGTACTCCAACGCGAGTGAGGTTCTGCTCCCTTTGATGAGCAATTAGTCAAGGTAAACACTATAGAAACAGGCAGTTAGATGCGCGAGAATGCAGGGGTGACGAAAGTGAAGTTTAATGTTCCAGACTAGTGGACGACGTAGCGCGCAATGGAGTCGTGAAACCAAGCGTTTCGCAACGGATCCTCGCTCACTAATTTCTTCGGTTCTAAGGCTTTTAAGCAATCCTTCTAGATTGAAAAATGCTCTTCGATTCATTTTATATGGGTCAGTCCTTCGATAAAGCTGCATTTGGGCACCGCTTACAAAATACTGCTGTGTGATTCAGCATAACCTTTCCAAAAGGACGCTTCATAAGTTGAAATGCTCCCTGGAAGCATTTGCATTCGAAAAGTCAGTGCCTGGGGAAGCACGATTGCGACTTGCATCATTGTTCTCTTTCTACAACGAGCCAGGGGGCAACAATAATGTCCCTGCCACGCTGTGAATTATCAGCCTACAATAACAGAGCCCCAATGCTTTTTCGTATTCTTCATTTCCTTTTCCGACATCTCTGTAGTGGCTTCCGTTTGCTTCTCACTGTGGGAAACTTGTTTTGACGTTATTCCGGTGCCCTGAGGTGTTCAATCCATTACCAGCATCTGCTGAGAGCTACACTCTCCGCCAAATTAGTAGCAGACTTCACAAAGAGTTGAAACTTCTAAGGCTACAAGTTTGATGTCCAAAACCCTAGCAAGGAGTTAGGAAGCTGATGCTAAGATGGAAACAGCTCAAACCAGAGCCAGCAAGCCTCCTGACCAGAAGTTAGGTCAGATACAAGATTATTCCTCTACGTGGAAACTGAACCAGTGCAGAAGAGTCACTTAAACTAGTGGATGTGCGCTGCGCAGTATGGTTTTAGCAACTTGAAAAACTAAGACAAGCATTTGAAACTGCCGAAGTATTCCCAATGAAAGTCGGTGTCCAGGCACTAGACGAGGTTGTGCAATGCACGAAATTTTGAAGTGCGAGGCATAAATCAGTGTAGTTCTATTTAATTTAAGTTCACCTCCAACGAGGCGCGCCGATGAGTGGCAACTGCAATGCATCGTCCGATATGAGCAATAAGTTCCTGCCCTCATATCGCTCCTTTGCGCATTTCGGCTGCGCCAACTAGTCAGATTGCAAACACGTTAACTCTCCCAGGCCTAGGTTTCTTTCGATCCATCTTGCGTGATTACATATTGTGATAACAGCACAGAACCAGTAGAGCTCAGAGGCAAGCAATCGACTCCTGCAACTCTTGAAAGGAAGAGTA